CACAAGTTAGCATTTGAAATCGACACATGGTTTGTGTCCAAGAGCCAAATTCCTTCAAAGAGTCGATCGGACTCAAAGGTTCTGAAAGAACACAACCCCATTTCGATCCACAATAGGCTAGACTAGGCAAACCTGAATGTTTTCTCAGCACCCGTTATGCTATTCCTATATGACCCACACAAATCCTCTTTTGCTGCAACTTAAATATGAAAAAGTATGTGTGTTGGAATGTTGATGAGAAAAAGCAGCCACATTTAGCAATTAAATGCGACACATAGGTTGTGTCCAAAGTGCGGTTATGAAGAGAAAAACGTTGAAGTCCAATTTTTGCCAACACGGTGGAGCTACTAAAACCAAAGATGAATTTTAATGCTAGATCATATTGACAACAAATCATGCACAAACATAAATATCAATTGAAGAATGCCCCTTAATTGACTATCTATAAAGGTAATGCCAAGTCCATTGATAAACTACAAAAATAAACGAGGCAATTGTCAAATTTCCATCGATCTTGTTCATGACCATAATAAAGACATTAAACCAGCACACAGATTTAACATAATGCACCTTGTAAATCATCACAAAGATCTTGGGTGATGCAATTTAGCTAGCCGTTAGGAGGGTCAACCAGTCATACTATGTTAACAAAAGGCATACTTATACAATCAAGTGCCATGCTTATATTTTTTAAAGTATGCCATATTCTAATGAAAGTATGTATTATTGTATAAAAAAGTATGCCGGTTATACCCGCCCAATAGAAGGTCTACCGGTGAATCATATATCTCATCTCCAAATGAAACAAAAGAAATTTCTTACACATTTTAAAAAACATAGCATGGAAAGACAGATAAACAAACCTTTGAATTTGTAATCGAAAAATAGTTTTTTCATCAAGAATCCTTCAACAATCTGTCAATCTCCATTAGGAACAGAGTATACCTAAACAAGTCACACCCAAATTTCACAGAAGCAAGACATTCGAACCAATTATAGGCAAATATTCCAAAAAAAAAAAACTTGTTATTCACCAAAAAGCTAGTCTTCTGCCCAAACAAACAAAACCAAACTTCCAAAAAAACAAATTCGCTCTTACTTCTTCTTTGGACTCTTGGGACTTTTCGCGGCCTTGCCGCGCGCGTGGACCTCCTTCCTGTGCGAGCGCTTGGGCTTCAGTTCCCCCAGCTTGTGGCCGACCATATTCTCCGAGATGCGGAACGGGACGTGCTTCCGGCCGTCGTGGACCGCGATCCGGTGTCCCACCATATCCGGCACGATGGTGGACCCCCTCGACCACGTCTTGATCAGCTCCTTCTTCGAGCTCTGGTTCAGCTGCTGGATCTTCTTCAACAGGTGGTTGGCGACGAAGGGGATCCGCCAGCTGGTCCCGCCGGAGCCACCGCGGAGGCGGAGGACGAGGTGCAGGGTGGACTCCTTCTGGATGCTGTAGTCGGCTAGGGTTCGGCCGTCCTCGAGCTGTTTACCGGCGAAGATGAGACGCTGCTGGTCGGAGGGGATGCCCTCCTTGTCCTGAATCTTCGCCTTCACGGTGT